GTAGTTGACTACAATCTAATAGCCGATATCATCAACAACGGTCCGGCACTTTATTCCGCTAAATTACGCAGTCAGTGTTCCGGACTAGATGAAACTAGCCCAATTGGTTGATATTTCGGTCTTTTTCAGGCTTGGAGGTGCGTCTCTTTGAAAGATGGGAGATTGATCCTAACTGAACAATGTCTCATGACGTCTGTTCGACCGAAATTAGCGATCTTCTCTTCATGTTTACTGAAAAGGATCACTTCATTTCCAATGAAGTGATCGTCCAAGGATTTGAGCTGTTCAGCTGCCACACAAGTGAGATTGCTTCAAGGCAATCGAATCGAAATACTTGGAAGCGTTCGTAGGGTCGGCTAGAGGTACTAAGCCAAGCACCGGCGGGCTCACTTTCCCTGGTCCATTTGTTGGTTTGGCGTTTTAAAAACGAGCCGGGGTGCAAACCTCGGGAAGGAGTCCTTTTGTCAATTTCAGTAATTACTGTCAGGAATGCACATTGGAGAAACCTCCGTTTGTATTCGTTCACCATTGTGAACGGAGAATCAATTGCCAAGACATAGAGATGATTACTTTTGGAAGGCGACAGCATCAAAACAGCCATTTTTCTGTTTCGTACTGAGGAATTTGACACTTTGGATGTCAGTCAGGTGCAGGATTCTGGGAAGAGTCCTTACTCTATGGAGGGTAGCCACCGTACTAGAGTTTCAGCATTGTTTATTGATTTCACAATGACTACCTTGATTCCACCACTTTGTGGTGGTGGCCGGGCTTCTATGCCGCAATAATTTCTGCGGGATGTACCAGCTGAAACTCAGTTGCTAAAGGTTTAACCGTGCCACGACGGCCGACGGGGAGCAGACCGACGAAGAACAGCGAGTCTGGGGGCAAAGTCGTACTGACTTCTGAGATAGGAGTGTGAGGGTAGTTTGGGCACTTCGATCAGGTGACCAGCATGTCCATAGTTAAGGAAGCAGCGGTGCTGCCTTCCACTGAGGAAGGTCCCCAAAGAAAACCCTACATCCTCCCACTGCCTTGTGGGTCAGGCTTTTGAGTCAAAGGCTCAAGATGTGGTACCTCAACCAAACCCTCTTCCTCGGCCTTGGCAACCGGGAAGTATCAATCGCCCTTGCAGCTCATCAGCAGCTTCATCGACGAAGCGAAATAGTTTGACACATACGCGTGAATAAATTTCCACTAGGTCAGTGCAGAAAGTCTTCGAGGAGGAGAAGTTTCGACAGGCCCAGAGAATGCTTGCCTCCTTGAAGGAGAGACTGCTGCGTCAGAATATATTGATCATGAACGACCTTGTTCGCTGCGCGAGAGTGCTGGATATCCTATCGCAACTGAAGCGGACTATTTTACCAGGAACTCTGCAAATAGTTGGACACAATTCGAAATGCACCGCCGTGATATATGAGGCATGCGAGGCGGCTTCCGTAGATCACCGATCCTATGAGGAAACCTCGAATTTACTTTCTAGAGAGATCCCGAAAAGGGCCTAGCAACTGGATGGCATGCTCCGGTCTTCAACTGGCTTCATACATACACACACTGCGGCTATCCTTCATAAGCTACTATGTATAAACTCGACTTGCTTTAGTCGATATTGCAGTCTCGGGTGTACACTATTCGTTGGCGCGCTTCACGGTAGAAATATCGATTGAAGACCATACAGATGAAGGGTCGAGTGATGCAATGCATGAATTCCCGACAGACCTCACCAGTTTTGTCGCTGTATAAGAATATGTCTTCGTGATAAGTGATCTTATTTGGCAATTTTTTAAAACTTCAGCTGGATGAGAAAACCATCGGTTGGTCATGACAGCAGGGTTCTGTCAGGAAGGTCATATTCCTGAAAGTATCCTCAGAACACCCGGATCCTTCTGCTCCACCAAAATCTCAACAGGAAAGCCGACAAGCATCCACGCCAGTCAATCATTCAATCAGTCCGGCAAAAGCCAATGAGTCCTTATGCGCGCCACAGAAGCACGACCGAATGTGATCAGTCTTCAGGCATGTCATAGAGACACGATCGATGTTGATGGGTGTTCACTAACGGCTATCAGACAGCCTGGATCAATGTCAGAAAGTCCCCTTTAAATAGCATAGGGCCGTTGTAACTTTGCTCTCGCACTCGCTTGTTCGGAATACAGCTGTTGTGTTCCCTTCTGTGAGTCTTTTTCTCCGGCACTGGAGCGGGTCAGCAGCAGATACCTCAGATTGGCGAATCAGGTTCACCATGCTGCACCATTATGTGGGAATCACGGATGTGCAAGCGTGCATTCCTTTCTGGCGAAATGAAGAATTCTGTTCCAGTCTCACAGTGGTTGTTAGAAAATGTCTGGGTACGAATAAAAAAATTTCACTGCCACAATGAAGTTGAGTGATGAGGTTTTTGTTCGTCACTTTCTCACGGGGAAACAGCTTGGAATGCACCGAGTATTTCCACGAGAAATGGAATGCACACGGGTTTGGTTTCAATGAGGTACTCAACCGAAACACCCAGTTACGATATTCTTCAGGTGAACGTGTTGCACAAAGGTCGCCTCATGTCCCAGTTAGTACGATATTCAAGATATCAAAGGACATTTTCTTGAACGAGCACTATAATCACAAGGTTGCTGAGAAATCGAGAACCCAGGACTGGTTTCCCCCTTCGTCTTCAGGCTCATTGGGTAGGCGCATCCCCGAGTTTCTATTTGATTCAAAATTGTCAAAAGTTCGTCAGATAAATGCATTTGCACACCAAATTGGTGTTTAACGGGGGATCCAAAATGGATATCAGCTGAATCTCTCGTTTGTGGTATCCTTCAACTAGATGTATTGCTGTCTGCTCTTTCACTTAGTACGATATACGCATTTATTGCTTGATTTTAAAGGCCTTCGCATTCATTTTTGTGGTGCCTTGTGTTCCGGATCCCCAAAGAGCTCGCTTAAACGGAAAGGTCTCGGGAGAGTAATTTCACTCCGCATCCTAGTATTAAATATTTTCAGTCAACCAGACTTCGCGGTCGAAAGTCTCACCTGGCGTCTGGTTCTGCGACCAGTTGGATTCTGGGTACTGTCCTGAGAAAAAGGTGTAACCAGATCTACAGCCCATGTGATTTTCACCGAGAAGGCACAAAGTGTGAAGTCTTGGGAGGTTGAAGCGTCAGCTAACGCGGAACACCCCTAAGAGATGTTCGGTTCAACGAGGGCGAACATCCTTTCGGTGCCTAGCATCAAATTTCGCCGGGGTGAAAGACGGAAAACGTGAAAGTATAAGAAGGGAGGCGTCAGCAGTAGCATGTTTTCGCCTACTCGCCGCCCTGCTGTGTGCAGCAAGGCGACCTGGCTGATGGCACCACGCGACGGGCAATGTGGCATGAGAGTACTGTTAATTGTGTATGTCATGGTTGTACGAGGGCTGGGATACTGCCCAGGGCGCCCACACCTAGACAGGAGGACAAGAACGAACATGGTACCATCACTGTCATTTAGACAACGACTCTCTCTATGATACGGCCATCTACCTGTACACATAAATCCACCTGTCTTTTCCTTTCGACGTCGACGTTTCTGGGCTGCTTTGAAACATGCGATAGAGGCAGGTCAATGTCAAGCTGCCCACACAACCAAGAGATTGCATCTTTATCCCAGCTCTGCAGATATAGCGAATCTCTTGAAGATACAGAGGTCAACTGCGAGGCGGTAGATGAGTCGTGCAACTCAGAGTGTCCTTGACCTTAGCTTCACCTTCGTGCTTCTTTCAGGTGGAAAGGTAACTACAAACAAGGCGAATGCCAGAGTGGAACCCTGTTTTCCTTCTGAGAAGTTGTCACTCGAGGATCCAGTGAATATGTGACCACGTGACGTGGTTTCCGTTAGTGACTAATGAGTGGCGCCGTCTAAGTGATCGAACACTCGTGGCCTAAAGATCAAGTGTCCAATCACTTGTCGGAAGGCTACTGGTTCGAGACTCCCTACTGCGCAATGCTGATGATTTCCAAGAGGAATGGAACAGTTACACGATGCCTCTCGGCTTTCTTTTAGCATAGATTGACAGAATGAAGGGGGAGGATAGCTCAGTGGTTAGAGCGCGAATTTACTGACCGGAAGGTTCGTGGTTCGAACCCGACCTCTGCTTCTCGACTTCCCCTGTCTAGGAGGCTTGGGCAACTTGGCAGTATCGCTGCCCTCGTGTGACATGACAGCTAGGCACCGAAAGGGTGTGACAGGATGAAATCTCTATAGAATACTTTAAGCTAACTTACGACCAGTTTGACTTCAGGATGTTAAATAACACAGTAGAGTGGAACGGATAGTCGTGCTTCAAGATACACACACACACAGAGCTGAAACACAGCAATGACAATGAGCGTGGGGAGTGGTACACAAGGCTTAGATGGATGGATGGATAGATGGAGGGGGGCGGCAGAACAGCAGCAACAGTGGGCTGGATGTGCGCGAGAGTACGTCCATGGAGAATGAAGATATGGTCCACAAACAAAAATAAGCAGAGTACTGGCACAGTGTTGTCCGGAGGAGATGATACATCTGGCATAGGGGACGAAGAACACACGGAAGAACCTGAATAGAGCACAGTTAACAAGAAAAATCGGTCGAATGTTGATCAAGGCCAAAAGTGGCGACGGGGCTCAAGCCAAGACGTGTGCGTGCGACGATGAACGGATAGTTGGAAAACTATCGATGAAAAATCAATGGAATAAAAATAGAGAAAAAAACACAAATGGCCACCCTCGCCGGTGGAAAGGTAACCTTGGAACAGTAAGATAGACAGATCAATTATGCTCCCCAAGTAGAGAAAGGTGAGGGTAGGTGACATACAGAGAGAGAGGAGAGAGCAAGATGACTCGCAGAGAAATCAACAGAACGAGACAAAAGGTCCCAAACGGGGATGGTGTTCCGAACAATCGAGTGAGGCTAAAAAGTGGGCTATAGTTGAGAACAGCTGCGTCAAGCACACCACCAATGGTGACGGGACTTGTTTAAAAAAATTCTCAGGTTCGAGTGGATTTTTCATACATGCGATCAATTTCATGCTGAAATCGAACTTGGAGGTTGAATCGTTTCAGTTTGAGAGCATCAGTAACGAGCCCGGTATCCGGAGTCCATGACATGGGATCCAGGTGGACCTTCTTGGGGATTTCAAACGTGGTCAGTCGCTTTTCTCTTCCGACTCTTTGGAGGTCCTTGAGCACGGCTGCCGCAATCTGTGAAGTAGGAAGGACAATGATGTTAGCAAGGCAATACGACGGGGGACTAAATTTTTCTAAAAATCATTCAGCTATAGCACCCTTTCGGTGCCTAGCTGCCATGCCACCTGAAGGAAGCACGGGGGCTAGGATACTGCCAAG